GGTCTCGAATTCCTGTAAGGTAGTTGATGGGTTTGGTCGGGTAATCATGAATTGCTTCGATTGTTCCAGGCTCTGAAGAAGGCGATCCGCGCCGAAACGTTAGCCGGAATAAAGTTGTTTTCTTATCAACCTCGTTCGAGTTCAAGCAAAGAAAACCAACCAAGAATAGTTCCGCGAACTGGCAGAGTGGCGTTTACTCTGCGTATTTTTGAACTGATCCTGGAGTGCGCATAGTTGAGTAGGCTCTAAACAGAATAAGTTTCAAAAAATTCGCTCAAAAGAAAGCTGATAAACTGCCATTTCCACTGCCATTTCTTCGAACCTAGATCTGTTCGCTAACTGACAGGTAACCACTTATAAGTGAACTCATGATCATGTTCACCTAATTGGTAATTCGTTCAGAATCGAATTCCTCCCAGTTAATTTATAGACGGATGACAAAGGTCTAATGGACTGCGATTTGTCGAGCGAAATGTGGAAGGCGTCGGAAGCGTTCAATCTTTCCATTGAAGATCTATGGCGGATGTCCGAAACCGCTTTAGGAATGTCTTTCCTACCTAAGTCAAGCATTGAGTACAAGAAACTCAGCGATCTGCTTGAGCGGCGACAGATGTTGGAGCTGAATCTTTAAGAAAATATTTCGTAACGGAGTGGTGATTTCTTGTATGTAACTGTGAAGCCCAAGGTGAAATTGAAGAGGTTCATTCGGCCTAACGATTCTGCCTTCTCACCTTCGCCGGAGCTTTAGTTGGTTCTGAAGCTATAGATCGTTCTGTGTGCCACAGGCCAAGACTTCGCATCTACATCCCACCCTATGATGAGATTTCATGATCGTCGTACTAGTTCCTGGCTATTACTTCTAGTTGGATTCTAGAACGATCTAGTTCTCTTTGTATTCTCCAGTGCAAGGTGTGCCTTATCAGCTTCACTTATGTTCTTGCCTATTTACATGTTGACAATTTGAATTTCGGTCCTCCTCCAAAGGTTCTCAGCTGAGGTTACTGCCACCTTATTCGTACTTCCAACTAGTTTGATCACTTGATGTTGTTTATCTTTCTTCTGATTCTTTATTGTTGTTGTTTCATACAGCTTGATCTATAATTAATCATTTGATAAATATTTTGAAGTAAATAAAACCGGTTTCACTCATCATTAGAGGAAGCTTTCTGATTGTAAGCACGCAGAGCCGGTCCGTAGGTCTTCTAAGTTTCTAGAACTCAAAGCGCAGAATAACCCAACCATGGACCAGTATATCTGCTTCCAAGATGGATATTCCACTTAGGTGAACGAAGAAAGTACATTTGAGTAGATTTTGAAAGGTAAGCATTGTCTAGATGTTTTTTTTTGAACGCTTGAATATTTCTTCTTGTCTTCATCTTCGCAGCTTACAAGGGAAGGATCCCAAGTCGAAGTGGCCATTTGAAATGGGACCCATACCGGTAGGCGTATTTTTTGACGCTGACTTCAAATCTGCATTCAAAATCTGCCAAACGATTCTCTGAACGAAGTTATGGAGGTGGTATCCGGAGAGCGCTCAACAGAGGAAAGCACAAAAGCCATGGTCGCCGGCAGTCAGCAGTGGCGGCTTGGAGTGAAGGTAAGCGTGACGCTTCACAGGCACGGGACCAAGGATCGGGTTTGGTGGGTGGCGGCGTTTTTGCACCTTGCAGGACTTTTTCCTCCAGGTTGTAAAA